TTCCACTTACAAAGTAAGAATGTAAATTGTAGGATATCTTTTGACCAAGAATGTTTTCCCAGCATACCTCGCGAAATCCAAGACAGAAAGTTAGACATAGGTCTGTACAGTATTTGTTACTCACGAGGCAGGTTTATAATTCTAGCATTCAAAGTGATTGCCAGTCACGAATCCAGATCATTAGTAGTCTATTCAGAATTGGCAATATTCCCCGCGCGGATTTTAACGTACAGGTGGCGGTACTACATTAACATTCGTAAGGAAATACTTCGTTTGATAACAGTTGTACTACTGAATGCAATATAATTTTATCGCCACAGTAGAAAATGGATTGGAAATTTTTTCCTCCAACGCAAGCTCGTATCAACGATGAAGAACGATCCCAAAAGATTAATAGAATTTCTATGGATCAGCTTTTTCATAATCTCGACGCACTCCTTAAAAGAGACATCAACGATTGTTTGTCAAAACATCTAGGCGGACTGCTTAAAAACAACGCGGCAATATATCAAGTCAGGGCAAGCGTTCAAAGAAGAGAAAGGCGTGATTATTTTGAAGCAGGGAAGGACGGAGAAGAAGCGGTGAAATGCAAAACGGTTAGAGAAGGATACCTTAGACAGCTTGCACTAAAATGTCCCAACACATCGGTATATAAGTCACAAAGTTTACAATCCAAATCGAGTTGCCCAGTGAATGGAAAACCTTCCACCGTGTTTGCGACAAAGAAGCCGAGCACTCCGCCTCAAATATGTCGGCCGACACGTTCAATTAGTAAAAACGGCGCTAGAAAGGAGCGATTGAAATTTGAAAGGCTTCCATTAACTTTGGATAGCGACCACTACGATGTGTTGCCTAGCAACGGATGGTGGAAATCAGAGACCAGGGGCGAGTCGACGAGCGATTCCGAAAGAGAGGCTGAAGTTATCAACGAAACTAAATCAAACTCAGGTTTAAATGTGGAAATCAAAAACGACAATTCTGATCATTGCCGCTCTTTGGATGTGTGCAGTAGCCCTGAAAGCATTCAATCATTATTTAGTTCCGTTGTTCTAGATAACAGCAACGATGGATCAGAAACGCAAACTCGGGCGGGCTCTTGTTCCAGTGTACTTTCAAAAATTCAAGGAATGCAGTCTGAAGAGCTGTCGAGGGAAGCCAGTGAAACTTCATCTTTCTTCCACTTGACGAGTGGGTCTGGGAACGAGAATGGGATAATTATGGCCCCCAGACCACCGCAACCTACTCCGGAAACCTTCCAAACCTGTTCTGAAAACTGTTCTCTGTCAAATTTTAGCAGGTCTACAAGTTTGGTTTCTGACGAAGCCATATTTGGTGAGGATTTGGAACTCGACTACAGACAACTGTTTCATTATCGCGTTAACACAAAAAGTCGAATTGATTATAATAAGTCAGAGGCCTTAAAGCATAATTATTCGCGCCCTGACAAGCCGCTCCTACCTAAAGAGGAAAACAGTTCTCAGAAATACTTTGACAAATGTCGTAAAATATCTTGTGTTTTTCCAAACGTGAATGCAAGCAGAGCAAAGAACAGTAACGCTATTCCTTTAGTTCTTCAAAAGGAAGCTGTCAAGAGACGCCCAAACACAGCAGATATACCAGTGAAATTGAGACTTCAGCACAGAAGCAACGCCTTCACAAAGCTTAGTAAGGTTAAGGAAGAGAATAGCACAGATGAGAGAGTTCTACCCACAACTTTGAACAAGTCAGCGGATGCATCGTATTCCGTAATGACTCCATATATGGCGAATGTTGTGTGGTCTGTTATGGATGACGAAAAAGTGGTCTGATTGAAAAAGGCTGTATGAATAAATCAAAAAGCCAATCTTGCTTGCTCTACAAAACGAAAACTAAAAAAAACTAGCTACAATTTCCCACCATGTGTTTTTAGCCGTGATACATTTAATTATGTGTCTGCGCTTTAATTCGACCATCTTGAGACATGGTAGCTGTTCTTTCTATTCCTTAGCAACTACATTTTGAGTAGGTAATTTTAGATCAATATTTGAAGGACGGAGAAATGTGTACTGGAATCAGTTTTTCTTTTTAGCATTACAGGTAAAGGCTGTGGAATCCTGATTTTCCGAACCTCCCGTAAGGCGGAAACGAAATTGGTTTGAAAAAAAAAATCGGCAGTTCGGGTGAAACTACAGTGTTCGACTGAGGGGAGAAAAATAACTTTTGGTTTGAGTTAAAATCGAGGGTTAGAGAAATCGGGATTCCACCAACTTTCAGATGTTGTCGACATTAGCGAGAGTGACTGCTCATGTCGAATTTCTCGAGCACTAAACTTTAGAAAAACACCAATAAACGTTTGTTCAGTGGTGAATTATGATAGTGTCCCGTTCTGAAATATCTGACGTAAATTGTAATAACAGTCAGGTCACGTTTTGTGACACCTTTCGTAAACTGCAATCACGTTTGTCGGAGTTTGTAATAGCTACCTATATTGTGTATCCCGAGCTGTCGCCGGCTGTCATAACACACTGTCGTTTTCCATGCAATAATTTTCATTTGTGTTTTAACAAAGAGCTGCGGGGAACAGCGCATAGATAATGATAAAAGATTAAAGATCCTAGCCACTCAGTAATTGAATCTGAGAGAAGTACCCATGTTAGAAGAAAGCAAAGTTGTTACTTTCCGTACCATACTTTGGTGCTCCTTTTCAAGCCCATGGAGAAAAATTAACAGATACCGAGGGTATAAAAGGGCCAAAACTGCATGCCTTGTAGCGAAGCTAAAACTCTTTAATTTGATAGTTGGCACTG